GAGATAGCTAAGTCATAATTGTGAGATACCTAAGTCATAATAATGAGATAGCTAAGTCATAATTATGAGATAGTTTCTCATAATTATGAGATACCTAAGTCATAATAATGAGATAGCTAAGTCATAATAATGAGATAGCTAAGTCATAATTATGAGATAGTTTCTCATAATAATGAGATAGCTAAGTCATAATAATGAGATAGCTAAGTCGTAATAATGAGATAGCTAAGTCATAACTATGAGATACTATCTCATAATTATGAGACACTATCTCATAGTTATGACTTAGCTATCTCATTATTATGACTTAGCTATCTCATTATTATGAGAAACTATCTCATAATTATGACTTAGCTATCTCATTATTATGACTTAGCTATCTCATTATTATGACTTAGCTATCTCATTATTATGAGATACTTTCTCTAAGTCTATAAGTCATAATTATGACTTATAGACTTATAGACTATCTCATTATTATGAGATAATTTCTCTATAGCTATAAGTCATAATTAAGACTTATAGACTTTTAGACTATCTCATTATTATGAGAAAGTATATCATAATAATGAGCTAGCTAAGTCATAATTATGAGATAGTATCTCATAGTTATGACTTAGCTATCTTATAATTATGACTTAGCTATGTCATTATTATGAGATGTTTAGCTATAAGTCATAATTATGACTTGTAGACTTACAGACTAATTATGACTTAGCTATAAGTCATAATTATGACTTATAGACTTATAGACTATCTCATTATTGAGATAGTATCTCATAATAATGAGATAGCTAAGTCATAACTATGAGATACTATCTCATAGTTATGACTTAGCTATCTCATAATTATGACTTAGCTATCTCATTATTATGAGATACTATAATGAGATACTATCTCATAATTATGACTTAGCTATAAGTCATAATTATGACTTATAGACTTATATATATATCTCATTATTATGAGAAAGTATCTCATAATAATGAGATAGCTAAGTCATAATTATGAGATACTATCTCATAATAATGAGATAGCTAAGTCATAATTATGAGATAGTATCTCATAATAATGAGATAGCTAAGTCATAATTATGAGATAGCTGTCATAATTATGAGATACAAGTTTTGTTTATTTTTTATCAGGGTGGCGGAAATGGGCTTCCATATACTTCAGTTTTAAAAAAAACATACTAATATTACAAACATGAAACATACAATGAACATGGAATAAATGTAAATATAAATATGAATGTATTCAAGTTTTTTGAGTTTAAAAAAAGTAAAACTCCGTAAAGCGTTTGCAACCTGGTCGCGTTCGAAAGTCTCGTGATAACATTGGCTCCGCGTGCAAATGACGCAATTCGGTGTCCGGAGAGGGAGGGAGCTCGAGCGGCGGTGTAGGAAAAGAGGAGGAAGCAGCTAGGATGGCGGAGGCACACCTCTGAAGGTAAATCAGTTTTTTCTTTAACAATAACGGTGGACGTTTTTATTCCCTCACTAAAACTCGACGACACCGAACATTTCATGAGGTCGCCCGGCTCAGCTGACGGCGTGTTCAGCGCTTAAATCTGTTCTTCTTTGGTAGCGGAGCCGCAAACGCACTCTTTTGTTCAGCTTCAGAATGGCCGCTGTTTTTCAGAGTGTTTTCTCTTTTTTTCTTCTTCCACTTATTTTCTTTAAGGAATCGGCGCTCAGACAGAGTGTTGCAGCTAACCCCGGCTCGGTTCGGCCCGTAAACTGTCTCCGTCCTGTGCTGTTGTCGGGTTGTCCGCTGCCCTGCGCTCAGCTGGCTGCAGCACAGATTTCGCGGCTCGGGGTCTGATCTAGCTCCGCTCGGGTTTCGCTCTGCGTCCCGCAGCCGCTCCGGCTCGGGCCTACGTTAAACACAGCTGTGGTTACTTGCACATTACACACTTGTCACTCTGTTGCGTGTAAACTTCTGCTTTAAAAGGCGTTTAAACGTAATGTTGTTCTCTGTTTGAGAAGACGTAAGATTAAAACATAGCTAGCTTGCGGGCTAATTGTAAGCTAGCTGACGTTAGCAGCTTAGCAGTCTAGAACTGACGTTTTGCTTTGGTGTTGACGTTTAGCTTAGCTGTTATTTCCTGCCTTGTTAGTCGTTTTTGCCACCGTTTATAAGAGTTGTTGCTAACCCCGATCAGTTCCGTGAAAGCTTAACATCTGGAGTTTTAGCTGTAATGAGTTTTAACATTTCTAGCTATATGTCAAGTCGCACAAACAGGGGTTTATTAGCGTTTATATCAAAGGTATGACTCCCAGGTTAGTGATTACACGGTGTCACCGAGTCAAGTGTCAGTTTCCTTGCCGTCCTTGTTCGCTAAATATATCAGTCTCTCAAGGCGACTTGGTGGCAACCGATGTGTCTGTAATCTGTTTCTATCTGTCTTCTGCACACGTAGCAAATGAGCTAGCTGGGTCATGTGGAGTGCTGTGTGAGTGCTGTGTAGTATCAGCAGCAAACTCGCCTCTTGCGCAATTTTTCTGCCTATATCACACACAATCAGCGAGTTTCAAAGTCCTCATTATTTCAGGTGTAGTATGAAAACACGCGCTTGTGGTGCAAATCTGTGTGTTTCATTTGTCTTGACACACCTTTGTTTTTATAACTCACGTCTTGTTTGTGCTCTTATTAGCTAACTTGGTGCATATCTTTTTTTATCATTAAAGTCAGTGAAATGGAATTTGCTCCAGTTCAAATGCACTGGTGTAAGCAGATGGGCCCACGATATCCTTAATGGAAACTTTAATAGTGTGAGTTTGGCAAGTCCAAGTAGTCTTTTATGGTGGTTGTGCGGTGGTGTTGATGGACTCACATTAGCTTTTTTTTTCTTTTTTCAAAACTCCCAATTTAGTGTAGCTTGATGTCTTCTTGAATGAACCGACAAAATGCGAACGACAAAAATGTTGTCGCCACTGAATCGCTTCAGTGTTGGTTTGGCCTTTATGTAAAAACAGGAGCCAAAACACTTCAATTAGATAAAAAAAATAAACAAACACCGCACTCAACCACATGTTGGAACAATACACAATCATGATTCGTAATATAAAAGCTGTAAGCAGATACAGAGTGGCTGTTTGTTTTGCAGTTTTCCGATAAAAGCAGAAATAATTTGTTTAGCCTTAAAGTGATTCTGTAACTCCTCCATAGTAAACACAGTTAATGGGTTGTTTAGATTTTTTTTAATAATTATTATGCCTCCTCTTTTGTTGGCTAAATAGCTAAATGCATGCTTTGGTAGGGCGGTGAGTTGATGTCAACACACAATGTTTGTTTAGTAGCAATAAGCAGATGTCAGGTTATACCAGGTACATAAAAGAGAGGTTCTTGACTTGCTGGGGGAGAAAATGCACATCGAAACAAGTTTGGCGGCTTTTAAATGTTTAATTATTTTGAACACTCAAGCTTATAGAGCACATATAGTTCAAATGTTGTTGTTTTTTATTTGTATGTAGTCTACTTTTCATATAACATTTCTGTTGAAGTAATACATGCGGATTTGTTGTGGGAGAATCTTCTGTGTGAAGTTTTCACCAGTTGTCATGTATATCTGTATCAAACTAAATAAAAAATAATAATAAAGGAAGTTTGCAGAATGCTTTACCAGAAGTAAAACGTAAATGTGTGTTTTTTCCCACCAATACTACCGATTGTTTTGTTGTCACAATTGTTCTTCTTTTTCCTTCCCTTGAGGTAAGAACTATTTGTATTCGAAATTGTTGAGTTATTTTGAAAAAAAAAAACAAAACAATACAGCCATTTAAAGCGCACAAACAATAGTTAATCTGTTGTGCTTAACGTTTGTTTTTTTTATGTTTTGTTTGGATAAAAAGCACCAAGTCTGTTCATGTGTCAGAACTGCCCAAAAATGATGCGTATGATGATGTCACTAATAAATATTCACTAAAAATAAACTTGCTCAATATAATTTTAGAAGAAAAAACACTTTTTTTTATTTGGCATTTTAGTAAAAATAGTTTATGAATGTTTAAATAGGATCTTTACAGATGATGTCGTCTCGCAGTTTGTTATAACAGACAGGAACACAGAGTATAACCGTATAAGGAAGTGGCTTGTGCTGCTAAGTTTACATCATGGCTCCAGCAGTTGGGTTGGTCTGGATATTCTCATTATTTGTTTCTAATAGTTGTGCACACCAGTATGCCTGTTCCAGCCACTGTTAGAAGCCACTGTAATTATTTATAATCAGCAAAACAAGCAACAAATACCTTAATCTTTTAGATAATATACTTTAGGGTGCATCTATTGACTAAACATTTGTTTTGTAGCCCAAAGGTTATGTGACCTGTTGTGGTGAGGACTTTGAAGACCACTTCTAAAGAGTACTCTCAGCAGTTTCAACCTTTTCTCTCAGCTCAGATCCTGAGCCAAACCAGATTCTCCTTTTTCTTTTTGACACAGTTTAGCTTGTGCTGTGTTATACCATCACCAATGTACAGAAAACTACACCAGAGACTAACAGAGACAGGCTTCCAGAGAAAAGTTGTTTGAGCTGTGTTTTGACTTGTTTGAAACATATTTTTGTGGTCTGCCATAGCACGTATCATGGTGCAAAGACTAGTCACCAAACCTGTTAAGGTTTTGTTTTTATTTGTTGTTTATTTCATGTGTAAAGACAAATATTCTCAGAGTGTTGAGACCCTTTTTAAAGGGATCCATGATTAGTTGTAACATTAGACTTTATGTAATCAACATGTATTTTAACTGTAAAATAAAAACTGTAAAAATACTGTAGGATTTTCAGTTTTTATCATTTTTAATTTTAAAAATATATTACACGGACAGACGGGGCCATTTTATTTACACAAAAAGCATTCTGGGTAAATGATGACGTGGATAGGTCCTCGGTATGAGCGAGCTATATCCACCCTGAAGGTTAATCTTGGACAATAGCTGATGATCGACTCTTTTAAATGAAACCAGAGAGCGTTGACAGAGAGGAGAAGGTAGAAATGACTCAGCCTGTAACTGAAAATATGGATGGAGGACAACAGAGCTGCTTCATGGAAGAAGAACCTCAGCTTAGCCTGTTAGCTTTAGCATTAGCTCCGTTGCTATCACCATATATATGTATTAGCTCAGCGCTACACATTCTCCTCTCATCACTGAGGTCCTCCATCCACATGACAGAGAGGGGAATGCAAAAAGGACTCAGTCTGCAACTGAAAATATGGATGTAGTACCTCAGTTTAGCTTGTTTGTCGCGCTAGTGCTGAGCTAACCCATATAAGGCAGAATAGTATCGGTGCTAGTACAAAGGCTAACAGGCTAAGCTGAGGTTCTTCTTCCATGAAGCAGCTCTGTTGTCCTCCATCCATATTTTCAGTTCCAGGCTGAGTCATTTCTACCTTCTCCTCTCTGTCAACGCTCTCTGGTTTCATTTAAAAGAGTCGATCATCAGATATTGTCCAAGATTAACCTTCAGGGTGGATATAGCTCGCTCACACCGAGGACATATCCATGTCATCATTTACCCAGAATGATTTGCGTGTAAATAAAATGTCCGTCCGTGTTAAAATATACTTCAAAAAATTTCCAAAACTAAACAGCCTACGGTGTTTTTACAGTCTTAATTTTACAGTTAAATTATGTTTATCAAATTATGTTTATCAAATCAAGTCTAATGTTACAACTAATCATGGATCCCTTTATAGTTTTTATTTTTTGTGTAATGCAAATATAAAGGACATTTGTTTTTACTGTAAACACATTTGTTAAAACTTTGGATGGACCGCTGGAAGCAAGTGATGAAACTCAAATATTAAGAATGCTTAAAGGGAATGAAATATACAATAATAAATGTTAACTTTTTTTTCTTCCTAACAGCAATTTTCAGGGGGATTAAAATAAATCTTTGGTGAACCTGCCAGCCTGAAAGAACTTCAATCTAAAGGTCCTGGGATTATATGCAGTCCAAAGATTCAAGCATGTGCCCCATGGATCCCACAAATCACCTGCTTCGAAGGATTAATTCTCTAATGTCATTTTAGCAAAGGAAAACATCATTACAAGTGTCTACAACACCTTTGGACCAACCAGCTTTTCTAAGTGTCATCCTAAATGTGTTGGTCTGCATGGGGATGTATATTCTTGAAAGATTCCTTGACTGTCTATGTCCCGTTGTTTCTAAATAAGTAACCTGAGGAAGAGAGAGTCCCATGAGCAACTTTGCTGGGCTGCTAATAACATCAACATGAGTAGTAATTTAGGCAAAGAAAAGGATTTAAAAGAAAAGGACCCCAAAGGTGGTCCAGCAGGTAAAGAAAGGGAAAAGGAGGCCAAGGCCTTAGCCAGTTTAGTCAAAGACGGTGGCAAAGAAACAAAGACCAAAGGGAAAGATGCCAAAGAAGGTAAGAAAGACACAAGCAGCTCAACGCCGGGTGTTGCCTTCTCTGTTGACAATACAATAAAGCGGCCAAACCCGGCACAAGGTGCACGCAAGAAATCCAGCAATGCAGAAGTTATCAAAGAGCTCAATAAGTGTCGGGAGGAGACTTCAGTGAGACTGGACCTATCTAAACGTTCCATTCACATGCTGCCCACCTCCATTAAAGAGTTGACTCAGTTGGTTGAACTTTACTTGTATAGCAACAAACTACAGAGCCTACCAGCTGAGGTGGGTTGCCTATCAGGCTTGGTCACTTTAGCTCTCAGTGAGAACTCCTTGACCAGTTTGCCTGATTCCTTGGACTCCCTGAAGAAGCTTCGAATGCTTGACCTCCGGCACAACAAGCTCAGAGAGATCCCACCTGTTGTCTATCGGCTGACGTCTCTGACCACGCTGTACCTGCGCTTCAACCGCATCACGACAGTAGAGAAGGACATCCGAAACTTGTCTAAGATCACCATGCTCAGTATCCGGGAGAACAAGATTAAGCAGCTGCCTGCAGAGATAGGTAAGTAAAACCTATGCACAGGGAACACTTGAGTGCTTCAAAGTTAAAACAAACATTGGCTACTGTTTAGCTTAGTGACTTCAGACAAAATAATTTCCCACCAAACAGTGTGGGCTAGTGTTAATGCTCTTGGATAGGTGCTCTGTTCGTGTCTAAACAAATGTTAGACACTTACTGTTATGTTTTGGACATTGTCTAATTTGTAATCAAGAATTATAAGGACACCAGCTATTTGATTAAAAGTTGTTGTGGATCCTCCTGCAGGGGAGCTATGCAGCCTCATTACTCTGGATGTCGCCCATAACCAGTTGGAACATCTACCAAAGGAGATTGGAAATTGCACACAAATAACCAACCTTGACTTGCAGCACAATGAGCTCCTGGACCTCCCAGAGACTATTGGTAATTTGAGTGTAACATTTTCACATTCTTTTAGACTTCATTTATAGGATTTTTATTTATTGAAGGACTTGAAAGCCAAGTTGTTTTCAAAGTACATGTTTTTTTTGTATTACTCAAATTATTATTTTTTCTTTCAGGCAATTTGGCAAGCATAAATCGTTTAGGTCTGCGATATAATCGATTGTCGGCAATCCCCAGATCATTATCCAAATGTCGAGAACTAGAGGAGCTAAACCTTGAAAATAACAACATTTCAGTGTTGCCAGAAGTAAGTGGAACACATTTTTGTTCCAAATATAACTTTTTTTATTTGTTTCTATTGTTTTTGTTTCCTGCTATGTTTGTTGTTCAAAATGTAGAGTGGAAAACTCTAGTTTTGTTTCAAAGCCTTATCTCTATTCCAGTTTTTCTGAACTGTTAGGAAATATTATTTACGATACGTATCAGGACAGTATGAAAACATTAGCCTCACATTGTTATATTTTAAGAAATGTGTGCGCACGTCTGTGATTGTATGCATTTTCTTAAAGGGGCAATATCATGTAAAATCAACTTTTTGGAGTTTTATATCCTGTTATAACGTTATCCCCTCTTCAAAACCATACCCAGAGTATTGCTTTGACTAATTCATGCATGTTTGAGAAATCCTGTAATGTCCTGTGGCAGCCAGGCAGGAGAACAAAAACAGGTGGTTGGCCCTGGAACAGCCTTTTAGGTGCAGCTCCTCCTCTGGGCTGTGTCTCTAAGCTGAGCTTCCTCATCACAGAGGACACCTCCCCCGCGACCCCTGCAGGCTGTCAGCAGCAGCAGGAACAACTAGCGAACAATTGGTGAAAACACGCATACGCTTCTTCTACTGAGCTCGTAATACTTCTCAGTTCAGTCCTTTTCAGATTTAAAATAAAAATCTTTGAAGAAATGTGTTTTACGATTCCAAGGATGATACAGTTCTTAAGAAATGGTTTGGTTCCATTTTTGGAAGTAACCCTCTGATGAAATAAAAATATTTATATTATATAAATATAAAATATAAAAATATTTATATTATACAGTTTACGGATAATAGCTTTCTGAACAAAAGGGCATTTAACAGTGGACTAATAACAAGATTATCACTAAAAGACAAAGCAATTCCAACACTCAGATGGACACAAACACTGTTGTCACCTGCACAGATAAGCTGAAAAACAACTCGCGTTGTTTTGTTCGGTTGCTTGGTCTATCTGTGATCTATGGTTACCATTTGTAACTTACATTACAATTTGTGTTCTTTAGTTGGCTTACACCACATTGTAGTAATAAATAAATTTAACTTAACATTATGTGTGTCTGTGAGGATGACTAGAAAATATCCTACCAAGCTGAAACGTCTCTCTACTCACTCCGGTTCTTCAGAAAACATATTTTCCGGGTCCGACAGTAAGGTTTAATTTATCCTGAGTTGCCATTTTCCAAAATATATATTGTATAATGTTGCTACTTTTTAAAAATTATTATTACAACAAAATAGGCTACAACGCTACAGGTTGTAAACGCATGAAGCTGCAGAAATGAGCGTGACCGCAGCAGTAGGAGGTTCTTAAAAAGACAGAGACCAGTAAAGGAAGCTTGCAGAATTCCAGGTGTTTAGGAACAGCTATAATGCAAAGTCTAATTTAATTTTGATTTATACATATAAACAACATTTTTATAACAACTGAATGTGACATAGATACTTTATTATGGTAAAAAATTTAACTATATGCCAGAGAAACACATACTATTGGCCATTTAAACACCAAATTTGCCTATAATTTTCTCAACTCTTTTTATTGCTGCTTGTTCATCCAGAATAAAAATAATAAATGGCTTCAGTGAGATAATATCTTCTAATTTTTCATTACATTTATGTTTGATTTTTTTCTTGTTTGTTTGTTTTTGTTTTTGCATGGCCAGGGCCTGCTGTCGAGTTTGGTGAACCTGACGAGTCTAACACTGGCGAGGAACTGCTTCCAGTCGTACCCTGTGGGTGGGCCTTCTCAGTTCTCCACCATTTACTCCCTCAACATGGAACACAACCGCATCAACAAGATCCCATTTGGTATCTTCTCCAGGGCCAAAGTGTTGAGCAAGCTTAACATGAAGGTATGATTGACTAGAAACTTGACGAAATAACTTGAGAAGTGTGATACTGAATGTATTTTTAGTGATTAAGCATTTAATTATGTTAAAAACAAACATTAGGACATGACTTTTATCAACAAGTAGCAAAGCTAGTTTTGTTTACCCTGTATGTACCCAGTTTGTTACTGTTGAGTCACAGCAGAGGTAAGGAGTTGCTGGCCTCCTGGCTCTGGTTACCCACACTTTGTCAGTCTTTTCTGGGATTCACTTTGATTTCTTACCAAGGGTGAAACAATCACCCCAATTTGCAATAGGAAAGAAGACATTTAACAATACTGTGATGTCAAATTTTATAATAAATATGAATGTATTTTTTGGAAAGATAACATATTGTAAAAAAGATTTCATGTTGCTGCGATGAACAGTTGTTGAGATATTCACATGTGAAGAAACAGGAAGTGATATCAAATGGAAATGTCTTTAATGTAAACAGAGTACTGCTAAAATGGCTAACAATGACTGAAGAGAAGAATCTGATGTTTCTTTAGATTATTTTAATCACTATCATAGACAGATGAGAGAGTCGTAGTTCCAATAATGTTTCAGTGAACAAAAATTTGGGAGTTTTCATTCTCTAAAAGTTCTCCTTTGATGTCACTTCCTGTTTCACTTTAGTTGAGCCAAGTTCAAAAGAAAATAAGCCAGTTATGTGACACAATGGGTCAAATCATGTGTATCATGCCAAGCTTTTTAAATATAAATATATTTTCTTTGACATTTTGTATTTCATGGATATGCATGTCACAGGTACTTTTAGGCTCTGTCAAAAACACTGTGTTCAAACAGTAAAACAATTGAATTCTTTCAGAAACAGTATTAGTGTATTGGAAAAATTTATATCCCATCCTAAAAGACACTTAGGCAGAAAATGCATATATTTTACAACTTAAAGAAATTAAACTCTAAGATGTTAATCGACTGTTCTGTATTGTTTATGTGGCTTAGATGAATGTAAAATTAAATGTGCATTTAAACAGAACAAATAAACCAAGGTGCACAACAGGCCAGGTTTTTTTCCCCAAGGAGGAGCATAAAAAGCTTTTTTAATAAATGCACATTGTATTTTTGAGCATTTCCAATTTTGTACAAAAACTAGTCTAGTGCTTCTTTATCACTTACAAGTTTTTATAAAATGTCAACCTTTCAGAATGTGTTCTCTTTGGAAAGCATTTCTGTTAATGCTAGTACCATTAGTTGGGGATAAAAACAATTTTATACACATTATTTGGACATTTTCAATTCTGTGCCATCTGAAAATATTTTCTCCTGCCATGTATCATTCATACACAGTGTCATCCTCTGCTGATCCTCTTAAAACGTGTTTCCATGAGCTAGCATGCTGTGTTACTGTTTTACACCATTAAAACGTTCCCATTTTATTTGTCAGGACAACCAGTTAACATCCCTGCCATTGGATTTTGGCACATGGACTAGCATGGTTGAACTGAACCTGGCCACTAATCAGCTGACAAAGATCTCAGAAGACATCTGTGGTCTTGTCTCTTTAGAGGTAAATATTGCACAGAGCAACACACAGTTTTGTGAAATCTACAATTAACTGAGAATGTTAGATCAGTTTTCATAAACATTTTTGCAATGAAGATATACTGCATTGCAAGTCTGTTAGTTTTTAGAAACTGACTAACAGTGGTGGAGCTAGGATTTTTAGGGACCATCAAGGGGCCACAATATATTCATTTGTTCAACATCCTTGCACACACATCCCTTGTTTTGGTAAGGTGTATACATTTAACCAGTCACATATGTTTAAACACTTAAAGTGATTTTAGTTTTAAAAAAAAGCTTGTACAGTAAAGTCTCCTTACCAATTTTACATTCATTTTTACTGTAAATAAATTAAATACTCTCAAACAGCATGCAAGAAAATACAGTCATCCTTTGTCAATTGTAAGACATTTTGCAGGATTGTTCAAACTTTCTTAAGAAAAGAAGAAGACCTCTCTAAGCTTGATTCAAGCTGGACTTTACTATTTAACTCATTAACTAAGTAGTGTTTGGACATGAAACTGCATCCATCATCACTCTCAGGCAAAGGACAGATGAGTGACAGGACAGGGGCACTTCAGGGGGCCAATCAGATTTTAGCTGGGGCCAATGCCCCTGTGGCCCCGCCCCTAGAACCGCCCCTGCTGACTAATGCCCAACAGATTTTGTATAAATGTTTAAGTTATACAAAACAAACATTACAAATGGTCACTTATACATTATCGTCTGAGGATTTTGTCATTCTTTTGGCAATTTTAAAATGATTTGTTTGGAAATGACCAGAAAAATGTGTTTTTCCTGTTAGGATTGCATGAGTTTTGTAAAACAAACAAACAAAAAAATCATGTTTTTCAATACTTTCATGTATAATCGTTTAATTTGAACGACTTTGTTGTCTTCCAGGTATTAATATTGTCCAATAACCTTCTGAAAAAGTTACCGCATGGTATTGGGAATTTGAGAAAGTTACGAGAGCTCGACTTGGAGGAAAATAAGTTGGAATGTCTACCCATTGAAATCGCTTACCTGAAAGATTTACAGGTAATCTTTCCATACGTGTAGTGCTCTTTGTTGTTCATAACTTTGAAGAATTTAAGTGTGGGGTTTGATTTTAATATATTTTGGCTTATTTCTTCATTTCAAGTAAGAAGTCAAGAACGAGAAACAGAAACATGAGAACTGTTAAAAACTAATTTTACACAATGGAGAGTGTCTTATCTTGCAAACCACACAAACAACTTTTAGGCTCTGATTTTAGGATTTGATCTGGTTTGTTTAAAAATGTGATTTTTAAATAAAGTTAATTCAGTTTTAAGAAGCAGATTATTCAACATGCTGTCTACCCATTAGATAATCATCGCAGTTGGTCTCCACAGTTGGAGGGGATGGACAGTGCTTTGGCATGCAGTTAAATCAGATCCCTTCCCATTTTGCACAATTTGTTGCATCACAGCAGTGTTTTTATTTTCAAAAGTGCAAAACAGCTCAGGCAAAAAAAAAAAAAAAAAACGTTAATTTTTTTAATATGTGATGTTATCCTATTAAAAACTTTACCATTTCTTTTAGACACTCTGAGATTTTCAAGGTGTTTGGCATGTTGAGTTTCGTGCTCTGTGGGGGTCATACCATCTGTTGCAGGACTCCGTGTTCTTCTTGCCACTGAAGATAGTCTTTTATGACGATGCATGGAGGTGTGGGCTTGTTGCCATGCCACAGAATAAATATGGGACAAATTAAATTACATTGCGTGACAGATAAAATGCAAATGTGTGAAGTGTCTGAAATGTTTGCATGATGCTTGATGATTTAGAGCACGTTTCACAGAAAGGAGCAAGTGTGAGTCCCATCTTGCAATACTTTATTATGTTAAGGAATATTAACTTGTAAATTATTTCAGGAGGAGAAAAAAAGAAAAGAAAAACAGTGGATTTGGATCAGAATAGAGGCTTTTTAAGTTTAAAAGGGACATATGCAAAATTTATTTATTTATTTATTTATTTTTAGCTGTTTAAATCATTTCATTGGTTTCTTAGTCACTAGGAGTGCAGAAAAGTTGACTTTAGTCTCTAATAATTGGTATTAAACGATATTGGTCACTTTTTAGAATATCTGTATCGGTCCGATATGTAAAACTGGGCCGATATTAATGTCCAATATTGATTTCCCCCTTTTTAGCTTTGTGTTTCTGTTTTGGGAGGGGAGAAGGTTGGTTGAGCGGTCTCTGTTTGATCATGACAGTGATATTGATGCTGCACAGCCAGGAATAACTGAAGTAGGGACCCATGTCAGAGTCATTTATTTATGGTATCAAGAAAAGACCCTTGTGCGTATACTGTATGTATAATATAATTTGTGTGTTTGTGTAATATCAGTAAATATCGGTTATTGGCCATAACAGCAGTAATTATATCAGATATCGATATCGGCTGAAATTTTCATATTGGTGCATCCCTAAATTTTTTCAGCCCATTCAGTTTTCTCTTATTTTCTATGATGTTTTTTGAACACAGTATTTGCGACAGAACTTCAGAATAAGGTCTAGACTTACCAACTACCGTTTGGTGGTCTTCAGTATCCTCTGGCTCTGGGTCAGTCTCTGGCTCCAACATGTAAAGCTGGATTGACAAGTCTTCCGTTATTGACGTCCTTCAGATATTTTGTAATAAAAAGTTTCTGTGCCACAAGATAGTAGTAAACCTCTTCATCATTCTGAAATGGACTGGTATGGAAGCTGGAAGGGGGGCACAGAATGAAGTGCCTCATTTGGAATTAAAGAGACCGCCTCAAAACAAGTTGATCTAAGATGCACCTCAGAAAAGGAGTGAAAAGGGGGCTTGTGGAGCTACAATAAGGAGGAATTCAGACCAAACATTGTAGTTCTACTTTATTCCAATTGAACAGTGGTGGGCACCAGTCCACTAAAGCGCAGATACGCTAATTGTGGACCTGAATATTTTGTTTGCGCTTTAGCAGTCTTACTAATTTTTATAATTCATAAGCGGATTTGCGCTTTCTAAAATTATGCAGTACCGCTAGTAACTAATTATCTACCTGTCATTAGTATCATGAACAGCGGAAGGTATGGCTGTCAATGAATCACAACACACGTGATCTATCCAACAGCACCCCTCCCAGATAAACACACTTATTGGGACGGTATACATCCTTGCTGACTGTTGCATTCGGTCACGGTTCTGATTTCCCACAATGTTTTGTGTCTGCTTACGTACCAGGAAGGCAATGTTTAGAACTCCCTGTCCCAGCAAAAACAGTTAACGTTTGTAATCCATACTAAAATTTTGTATGTATTGATTTATTTTACTTTACAGTCGGAGCTCCTTTTTTAAAAAAAAGAAGTTTAAACGCTGGAGCTCAATACTTGACGTAATTGGTTGAAGCAATCGGCCAAGGGGTTAGAAATGATTAAGATATTATGTTGTTGAAGACAGACATCTAGTGGTCAACTGGAGCAACTACTTGAAAAACTTTAAAATCCAAGGTCTTGTTTTGAAGGGAAGGTAGTTTCCTGTTCTCCAGGCCATCACAAATCAAATCCGTCATGTACCCAGAATGCATCGCTTCAGTTTTCCAATAAACAGTTTTAAAATTACTTTATTGACGCTTCTTTAATGAAATATCTACAACAAACAAAAGAAAAAGTCAAAGAAGCAGCCGAACTAGCAATCCTCAACAACATTTTAAAGAATCAGCCGAACTAGCAATCCTCAACAACTTTTTAAAGAATCAGCCGAACTAGCAATCCTCAACAACTTTTTAAAGAATCAGCCGAACTAGCAATCCTCAACAACTTTTTAATTTTTACATCAGGAGCTAAAGGTCTGTTACAGGAAATCACATCCCCAGCAATCGGCAGTTGTAGAATTAAGTTGTAAAAGAGTTCATACACCGCTAGTTGGCAGTGTTGTACATATATTGTACATGAATTGTTGCTGACTAGTAAGTGTCAAATTGAACTTGTGCTTTAAAATTAGCTTCTGCTATCTTTCCTATGGCATTAGCGCTTTTGAATTTGCGGACCTAAATATTTTCATAAGTGCTTTAGAAATTGCGGAGCTAAATTTTGGATTAGCGCTGCCCACCACTGCAACTGAATGATTTAAATGTGAAAAAGGATTTAAAATTATAACGTCTACTTTTAAAGTGGTTGCAGTAGCATGTCAGTAGTTGTGAAATAGAATAATAACGTACTCTTGATAAGGTTGATCAAATATACAATCAGACCCATGTGGGACGGTTTGTGCTCTGGTGGTTTCTATATCCATGTTCATACTTGGCTTTTTCAGTCCAACTTGAGTGGTGAGTTCTGATTGAGAGCGTTCACATCTGGCTCTTAAATGCATGTGATCCGTTTCCAGTTACCCGCTTTGTGCCCAGATACTCACAGAGCTGTCAGCCGAGCAGCAACGTCTGCTGATGTTTCTGAAAAAACTGCAATACATTCACACATCTGAACTATAACTATATATCTGAACTGAATTATATTCTTATTATTTTGACATTACCAAGGTTCACGGCCAATTGAGGCACATTTTTGCAGAGTTACACACTAACATTCCAAAGTGCGTTTTCACTGCTTTGCTGTGCTGAACAGTGAGGAGTCTTTGTTGGCTTCCCCATCTGACCACAGTAGAATTCATTTCAGTTTGTTTGTATGACTTCAGTTCACAACAAAAGTCCTCTTAGGGCACTATAAAAAAACATGAATCCATTTCAGATTGAAGTTCAAAGCAGGTCTTTAGTCAGGGTTCTCTTTCTGATAGCTTCACACATTAAAACTTGTCAAAAACTAGCGCTGACTGATCTTCAAAACTGACAGACCCAACTACAACATGTTGATTCAGTTCAAAAAAAGCATTAGTGAGGGCCAACATTTCAAGACATTTTGAGCAATGAAGTGTCTGCTTGGCTTCAAAGTTCCCTGACTAAGCTTCAGACGCTGCTCAATTCATGCGTCTTTCAACAGCTAGTCTGCCTTATTGTTATTGGCCAGCAGCCACTGACAGGGAAAACAAATGATGTAACAAGTCTCTCTAAGTATTGCACTGTGGAAACACGTAACTTTGTTCACAGTTTTGCAGAGATCATGCTTGAGCTTAGTTTATCATACTGCATTAGATGAAAGCAGGTCCTACATGATGACCTTTGTCCGTTTACACTGCTGTGTCTCGCTCTGCAGTGCCACTGAGCTGAATTACTTTGTGTACCTCAAAACAGATGTTAGAGGATGCAACTTATTTTCAGTTTCCTATGTTAGAGCATATGTTAGATTTTATAAAGCAATAGCTATTACAGAAATTGTACAAAAAACAAAACAAAACAATGAGCCTCATTAGTGTTGGACAATAATTTGATATTGATATATATCCTGATTAGGGATGGGTTTTGATGAAAGTTGGATAGAAACTTCATTGCAGATCCATCCACAACAGATGAAAGGTATTTGAAAGACATACACACAGACAAAATAGTTTGTACCCCTCCTTTAATGAAATAAAGTCCACAATGGTCACATAAATAACTAGAATCGGACAAAAGTAATAATAAATAAAACTAATTTAAGATAAAAACCAAGATTTAGACACCTGTGATACTGATTAGTGGACACACCTTGATTTAACATGATCCCTTGGTCACATTATTTTCAGTGTCATTTCTGTCCAGGCCTGTTTTATGAATTTAATTTTTTTTAATTCTGTTGAAGCATGATTGAAAAGCAATGTCTGACTTTCATGTGTTCATTTTCATAGAATTTTTATTTATTGTTACTTTTGTCAGATTGTAGTTATTTCTGTGACCATTGTGTTCGTGGGTTTTTTTTTCATTAAACAATGTGTACCAACAATTTTGTTCACATGTGTATCTTTGGAACCTTTTTGGCAAAGATGTGACACAGAACGGAAAAAATACATCATCCTTCAGCTTTTACATTTACTTATTTTAAGCTTTTGGTTTATAGGTCTTTGGGAATCAGAAATATATTTATTGCCTTGCAAACAGTTTATTTGTTTTTTCTTTCAACAAAGTTTCTCTGGACAACAGGCAGCTTGTGTCGGTGCAAAAGTATGTTTTAACATTTTATTTATTAAAACACATCACTTTCTTCTTCCCTGAGTTATGTACCATAACTATTCTCAACTATCATGGAACAGTTGTAGATGGTTTAATGTACACTCACCGGCCACTTTATTAGGTACACCTGTCCAACTGCTTGTTAACTAGGCCTGTCACGATAACAAATTTTGCTGGGCGATTAATTGTCTCAAAATTTATTGCGATAAACG